GTTTCTGGCCCGATTTCTCTCCCAGCCTCTTTGTTCCTTTGTAAAACCCGTGTCCAAGTCTTTATTTGTGGCCTAAACAACCACGGTTTGCAGCCTGGTCGCAGCCAGCAGCTGTTTTGACACTTGGACTTCATCTGGGGAGCTTCCTGTAGTTCAGGCTCCCAAGACTAGGCGAGCTAGGGTTGAAAAGTGTCCGCAGTCACGACTACCTACAAAAGTGTTCACAGTTTCCAATTTAGGAGATACCTCAAGTTCCTCTGATCGCTCCAGCCTGTATGTTTTACACAGGTGCTTGTCCTAGAACTTTAAAACAGGGTGCATAATGTTTTGTTCCGCCCCAGTTATTAGGAGATCAGTGTCCTAAGCGATCTCTGAGCCGTGTTGCAGAAGGCAGGGTCAATATGGATTGAGGACACATTTTAAGACAGATCGCTTTTAAATAACTTTGTGAAATATAAATACTCCCACAATTCACCTTTTTTTTGCTTGTAATGCCATGAACTAGACATTTGTACAAAAAATATGAAAGTGGAAGTTCTTCAAACGAAAATAGTAACCACCACCTGTGTTAATCTAAAAAAGGGGGGGGATGGCTGTCAAAACCTGACAATAATGATAGAATATAAAACAGAAACTTTTAAGCCCTAATTCTTGCCTTTCTTCCACCTCCCCTGATGTATTAGTGCCCATTGGGGTGAATTACCTGAAAATGGCATGAGTTTGAGAATGAAGGCTATTCTGAAATTTGCACCATGTAAAAAAATGTGTGTCTTTTGAGAGTTTTTTTTTTGTAAATTGATCCCACCTAATGTTTGGTCATTAATGTTTTTTTTCTTGAAGGCCTTGTTTTTTAAAATCAATAAATATTAATGCAAAATAAAAAGGTAATTGAAAACAGATTAACAGAATTACTGATGCATTGTCTTTATTGCTTTGTAGTTAACCTGTTGCCCATTTACTTACAATTGAATTCTTTTTTGTTTTCTTGTACCAGGAGCTTTACCCAAATTAAAATGTCCTTTGTAGGAAGAGGATAGTGAAGGATGTATTATCACTAGCAAATTAATTTATTTTAGATCACCCAGATTTGAAACATATTGACCCAGTGGTTTTAAAGTATTGTCATGCGGCAGCTGCAACTTACATATTGGAGGCAGGAAAGCACCGGGCTGACAATTCCACTCTGAGGTATGGGACTTATTAAGCATCCTTTTTATTTCCAAATAGTATCATGATGATTCCAATTTCAGTTTTAACATGGAGACTGAACATTGGCTTTCCACCCTTTCTAGCACTTACCTGGAAGACTGTAAATTTGACAGAGAGAGAATAGAACTGTTTTGCACGGAGTATCAGGTTACTTACTTTAAAACTTTAAATTAACAATTACTACTTTTTTCAACTCTCTTTGCAAAGATGTGTTCCTCTCTTTTTTACTTCTTACAGAATCATAAGAATTCCCTGGAAATCCTACTGGGGAGGTAAGTACTGTGTAAGGTGTCAAGCTGAGGTCCTTTACACTTGCAGGTATGCATGGTGAGTGTTTGTGTGAAACACTACTGGGCAGAAAGTCCTGAGATCCTGACTCAATGGGGGAGGGCTAAAGGGCAAGTGAAACAATTGCACTTAAGCCATTGTTTTTAAACAGAAGTGTATTGAGATAGTTTTAGATTGCTTTAACTCTTCCAGACATGAAAGTGAAGTTTAATAATATCCTCAGAATGCATTAAAACAAGGATAGGGGGTGAAAGAGAGACACTATTTTTTAGTAAAGATAAATACTGTAGTTTTTCTCTGCAGATATTAAGTGCAAAATTATTGTATCTTTCAGTATAGGCAGATCTCTCCCTCATATAACTGATGTTTCTTGGCGCTTGGAATATCAGATAAAGGTAAAGTTTCCCAAAACATCTCAGTAAGGTTTTAGAGAACTTTTTAATAATAGTTAAGAGATTGATATGCATGTGTGTTGTTTTAGACCAATCAACTTCATAAGATGTACAGACCAGCATATTTGGTGACCTTAAATATAGAGGTATGTATAAGATGACTTATGCCTCTGAGGTGTATAATGAAATCTTAAATATCCTTGATTTAAATAAATAGCCTTCTTTTTCTCCCCTAGAACCCTGACTCCGGGTCCTACCCAGATATTAGTTTTAGTTGCAACATGGAACAATTGCAGGTACAGTATTAGGATCTCTGAATATGCCTATCCTTTTTTTTCATTTGTGTTAAGAATTATGCTATGGAAAGTTTAAAAGAAACCAATGAAGGTTAAGGAGTTAAAGGGAAAAGCAATATTTTCACACAGACTTCATTTTTGCCCTGAAGATGTTACTGTTACTAGTGGTCTGTATTTTTTTTGTTCCTTCTACTTAAAATGCACTTCTAAAGTCTAGTGTTTATTGTAAATTCATCCAATTCACAGTCAGCTAGATCCACTAAGATAAAAGCAAGGATATGAAAACATCTTTGCTTTCACAAATTGGATTCAATTTGAACATGTATATTTACAACAGTTCAAAATGACTTTTTTAAAAAGGGGGAGTAAATTTTAAGGTTTTAACTGTGACTGGAGAAATTGAAAACTACTTTGATGGACATGGCAACAAACTTTTAAAAAATGGTCATTTCTTCGTCAAATGAAGCAACTATTAATATAACTTTGAACTTTTAGAGAATGTGCATACAGCATAACTCATTCAGTAGATGACTTAGGATGTTTAGACACTACTTGCCTAAAAGGGAGGATTCAGTTGGAAATCACATTTCATTCTGTGGGTATCACTGATTTGAAGGTGAGGTGTTTTAAACCCAGAGTGGCTTGTCAAAGCTTCAAATTCTAGAGAATCTTACATTTGCTGAGCAAAGTGTCCTCCCAACTTAATCTTCTTGCAACTTCTCAAACTTCGTTACCCTAACATCAGGCATGATGCACATTTGTAGGACTTGGTGGGGAGACTCAAAGATGCTTCGAAAAGCCTGGAAAGAGCAACTCAGTTATGAGTTGGGATAGCTAAGCCTTGGCTGAGGCTGGAAGAAAACCAGAACTGCCCTGCCTTCTGCCGAGCCGTCGTGTGTGCGACCTGGAAGTTCTCATTTTTTTTTCTTCTGTGTGTGTGTGTTGGGGGGGGGGGGAATCTTCCATTCCTGCCACTGTTCGAACACTTGGGTATTTTTTTTTTAATGTCCGTGAAAAGGTTATAGGGAAATTCTGCCGGAGTATTGGAATCCCCTTTCGTATTAACTGTTTCTCCTCTTTTGATCTTTGTCAAGTCCCACAAAATAAAAGTGTTGCACCCTGAGTACGGTGGCTGTGTTTGGTTTGGAGTCTGTGTATTGATTATTACTTACGAGTGCGGAGGCAGCTAGAATGAGCGTTAACTTTTAACGCCCGCCTTTTCTCTGGACTAGAGCGAGTGGGGGGAAGGGCGCGATCCCCCGGGGCTTCGGGGACCCCGGGGCTTCGGAGACCCCGGGCTCAGCCGCGAAGCGGTGGCCGCTACCTGCGCCGCGGGGCTCGTGCGCCCGAACCCCGCCGCCCGCCGGGCTC